AATTGGAAAGATAACTGGTGGTCAGAGAGAGGGATGTATGAAATTGAAACTATACGGAGGTGAGTTATTGTAATGATGAGGTTGAGTGCCCGAAGAAGGTGAAGTTAAGAGAACTGTGAGGCCAGGTTTTTGGAAGGATCATTTATGTCAATGATTCTCAAACTTTAGCATGCATCAGAATCACAGTCAATTAAAACACAAATTGTAAGATCCCACCTCCAGAGTTTCAATAGGTCTGGGGTAGAGCCTGAGAATTTTCATTTCTGAGAAGTTCCCTGGTGATGCTGATGCTTCTGTGGTCCAGGGACCAAACTTTGAAAACTACTGATCCAGGGGCTGGGGTCTGGGGACCATGCTTTCAGGGGACATCTAGATCAATTGGCATAACAGAAGTTTATTAAGAAAATGTTCTACATCTCACTTTGGTGAGTGGCATCTGGGGTCTTCAAAGCTTGCAAGTGGCCATCTAAGATGCATCAATTGGTTCCAGTCCACTTGGAGCAAAGGAGAATGAAGAATACCAATGACACAAGGGAAGTATTAGCCCAAGAGACAAAAGGTCCACATAAACCAGACTCCATCAGCCTGAGACCAGAACTAGAAGGTGCCCGGCTACCACCAATGACTGCCCTGACAGGGAATACAACAGAGTCCCTGACGGAGCAGGAGAAGTGTGGTGCAGAACTCAAATTCACATAAAAAGACAAGACTTAATGGTCTGAGACTGGAGGAGCTCTTGAAGCCATGACCCCTGGACGCTCTGTTAACCCAGAACTAAAACCATTCCCGAAAACAACTCTTCAGACAAAGATTAGACTGGACTATAAAACATAAAATAATACGAAGAGTGTGCTTCTTAGTTCAAGCTGATACATGAGACCAAATGGGCAGCTCCTGTCTGGAGGCAGGATGAGAAGGCAGAAAGGGACAGGAGCTGGTTGGATGGACACGGGAAACCCGAGATGGAAAGGGGGAGTGTGTTGTCACATTGTGGGGATTGCAACTAGTGTCACATAGTGTATGTGTATGAATTTTTGTACAATAAATTAACTTGAGCTGTAGACTTTCACCTAAAGCACAATTAAAAAAAAAACTACTGATCCATGTGTATGCTGAAATTGCCAAGAATTAAGATAGGAGTACTATTGTAGGATGACAATGAACTAGGAGACAAAACCATCAAGAAATAAAGGGGAGATACCTGGTAATTGGTAGAAAACTGCAACAATCAGAGGTGGTGAGTATATAATTTGATGAGATTTAAAGTTGGGAGTTTTTATGGAGATTGGCTAGAAATTGTATAGCTGAAACAATGATTGGTAGCAAAGAGATTAAGGCTAGGCTACAGGCAGACTGTGAAAGGCTTTGCATGTCACTATTTTATTAGTATCAGTGTCTTTTATTTGGTAAGCAGGTCTAGTGCAAGTCCCCAGGTCAGGTATTATCTCTGGTGGAATTGTTACTGTATTCATCACGAGTGATCACAATCATACCAATTCATGTCTGGTAGAAACAAAAAACATACTAATTAAAAATATTAAGAAATCCCACAAAGCTACGTATCACTTTACATAAGATTAGGTAAACTGACATCTCTAACAGGACAAAGCAGCTTAAACAGTTTGATAGTAGGGCAAAGTAAGACTGAACATGAGGTCAGAGAGGGATGTATGAAATTAGCGGTCAGAACGGAACCGTGCAAGTATAAACCAGGGAGGTCTACAAGGAGGCGGTCGTAAGTAGTTAGGACACAGAATACAATATGGGACCATTACCTAGGCCCAGCTTGTGGTTGCACCACTTATTACTTATGGGATCCTAATCAAATTATTTACTGTTTCTGTTGCTCAGTTCCCGATTTGTTAAATGGGTATATCATTTGTCATGTGCCTCAGACGAAAGTGGAGGGGGCTACACGAGATAGTGCAAAGCACTTTGAAAATGTAAACTGCTATACACATTTAAATAGTGAAAAACCAACAAAATGTACTGAGCTATCCTTAGAAATAAGGGCAGAAGAAATACTTATGTAAGAAATGAGTGAAAGAGGTGAAAACTGTTATCCGAGCAGAACAATGATGAGGTGTACAGAACAATTAAGTATGCAATGTGGACAGTACCACACTGGTCTGGAAATTATGAAAGTCCAATGAAAACACTTCGCTGCCTGTTGACATTTATGTCAAAGAACTTATTGTTATATAGACAGCTGCTTCCTTAGGAATCATACCTTTGGATGATAGTAACTGATTATTTGTATAACTGGCTTGAATTTTAGCTACTCTAATCTTCCCTCTTCTCATGATGTTTACTACTAGATGAGTACCCGTAGTTTTACATATTGAGAAAAATGCAGGTCCACATGAACTCTTACATGTACTCCACGCATGCTTCTATCATAGCTTTTGTTACATGCTGATATTAAGATTATACAAACTATTTGAGGGTCAGGATTGTGCCTTGCCAAAATCCTTCAATGGCTTTCTGTTCACTGTCCTTAAAATAAAGTCCAACCCTTAATATGGCATAAAAGGTACTTCATGATCTGGTCCCACTATCTCTCTGGTTTTATTTCTCCCCACTCCCCTCTGCACCCAGTGCTTCAACCACACTTAAGTTCTTTCAGGACCTCTAATGCACCAGATTTTTTCTGATTTAATAGATTTGCACAGGCTGTTTCAGCTACCCCGTATACCCTGCTCCATTTTCTTGACTTTTACTTTTTTTCTGGTTTACTTCAGACATTTTCTGACAGCTTTCCTTGAACCACGTTCTCAAACTTGGGTTACGACTCTTTCAATACCTTCTAATTCCCTCATTATATTAATTCCATGTTACTGGAATTGAATGTTTAATTATCTGTCTCATCAGACCAAGCTCTGGGAAACAGGTAACAAACAAAGTCTTGTTCATGAACGTTTTTTACCATTTAGCATAGAGCCTAGAATTTAGGAGATGCACAATAAATACCTGAGTTATACTGAAGTTGCCAGAGGTAAACACCTGGCACACACAAGTTCAATCAATGAAAGATAACCTAAACAGTTCTCTGCTAGGAGACAAGGCATTTGGGGTTAAGAGGGCAAAAACAAAAAGGCCTAATGACGTGGCCATTTCAAGGAGGCCACTGCTATTTTAACCTCCTAAGAAAATTCCGTACATGCACTATTAGCCATAGAGGAGAAGAAAGGTGTGTTGTATAGCAAAGGAGGAGGAAGTAGCAGTGAAGTGAGTAGTAAATGTTTATTTTGAGGACTTTCTGGTGTGGCCATGTGGTTAAAAAAAATCACATTACATATCATGGATCTACTAGGCTTCTGCAGGTTCTTATTAGTGCTAGCTCAACTCAGGCCTTTAAAAATGTTTTTGGTTTATTTTAATACTTGCTTATTTTATGAAATACAGAAACTCATAAAGGTAACCATTATCATAGTAGTGAATATCTTTTGCGTCTTTTGCTATGCATAGTTTTAAGTTACCACATATTTTTTAAAAAGTAGTTTCAGTTTCTGACCACCTGTGTTTATTGCAGATGTAGTAAGTTAGGCATTACTTCATATTTCAGAATAGTAGTAGTCTCTATGGAGACTTTCTTGTCTATCACTTAGAAAAGTTGTCCCCTTATTAGGCTGTTGTGTTGTTAGCTGCTGTCGAGTCAGTTCTGACTCACAGAGACCCTATAGGACAGAGGAGAACTGCCCTATAGGGTTTCCAAAGAGTGGCTGGTGGATTTGAACTGCTGACCTTTTGGCTAGCAGCTGAAATCTTAACCACTGCACCACCAGGCCTTCTCTTATTAGGCTAAAGCAGTAGTATTCTAAATGCGGTGGGTAAATTCGGGATTGATTGGATAAAGGTTCAATACTATTGCCATGATGCTTTTACAATAAATATGCAATCATCTTTTGGTTATCATCAGCTGGTACTGCAGGTTTTGCTACTGCTGCAAGAGAGTTACAAGGGACTGAGAAACGTAACGATAAGCCAACCAAGGACTGTTAAGATCCCCAGGAAAAGTCAATGAATGATCAGTCTTTCCTATATCCTTAATAAAATGGTTCAAGAGGACAGACTGATACTAGTCACTATTTATTTCAGGACCTAATATACTATTTAGGCCTATGGATGATACTAAGTTGTAACTTTATCTGCAGGGTATTTTATTTCTGCAAAGATAGGGTCTAAAAATCATAAAACCAGACAGATAAGGGATATAACATATCAAAATTATATTAACGCTATTAAAATTAGATGATGGGTCTTTTTCACTCTGTCCTACTAGTGGAGATATTACAAATATACACACTTAGAATACCAACCTGCTATTCTCTCTTGAGTAAGTTCCTGGGTGGCGCAAATGGTTAAGCGCCCAACTACTAACCAAAAGGTTAGGAGTTCTGAACCCACCTAGAGGCACCTTGGAAGACAGGCCTGGTGATCTGTTTCTGAAAGGCCACAGCCTTGAAAACTCCACAGAGCAGTTTTATTCTGTACACATGGGGTCATCAGGAGTCAGAACTGACTTCAATGGCAACTAACAACAACGTCCTCTCTCGGGAGGCTATATTCAGGTTGACAAGTACCCCCGAATTTACAGACAAAGCTGTTGTCAAAAGGATCTTCTGTGATTGTAGCACAGAGAAACAGTCTAAATTTTATTCTTTATATGACTACTGACATGATTTAACTCCATCACTTTGGCACACGGTATTACTACTTCTCCTACTGTAGCAAATTCTAGTTTTTTCAAGGCCTGGCCTCCTATTTTCCTAAAAATAAAGCTTAAATATCGTGTAATTAAAACTTTGGTCTCAAATTAAAATATTATCCTTTTATATACATATACCAGGCTGATATATTCACATATATCCTTTCCAATTTCAGGCTACGAAAAACAAGCATTTATAGCTCTATTAATGTGTCAAAGCAAAAGACACCCCAACTTAAGAGTAAGAAAAATTGTGACCTTCCATGTAGTATTTGATAGAGAGAACACTGAATTTCATACATTATCTATTTTATTCAGATAGCAGTCTGATTCACACATGGTCCAAGAACACTCGAATAGTAAATAAAAAATTAACCAGATGTTAAAGACTGGTCTTCAAACATCATAGCCAATGATGCCACGCTTGCCTATGATCTCGCCGATATAAAACCACATCCACACCTCAGTGGCCACCAAACCATTCAGCAAAGCTTCCTGAAGGGGGAAAAAAAAAGCACACAAATTTTAAAGGTATATTTTTTTCTTATATGTTGAAAACTATTCTACTTTAGGATTAAATGACAGAGAATGCAAGGATGTTATTCAAACTAGAGGGCAGTTTTAGTCAAAGTCAAGGATTACTGACGTCAACTTTGTTCAACTGCTGAGAACCCCTGAACTTTCAATTATGTAAGGTAAGGAGTCCAGAACATATAAATTCTTTCTTTAAAGATCTGAGCCAATTTAACCCTTTCATTATTAGTTTATGAGACCCTTTATGAGCCCTAAAACAACCCATATCCTGGAAACAGCTGACACACTGAGACAGGGCATTCATATGAAAGGATGGCTACAGGAAGGCAAGTCTCTAAAGACACATTTCTGTCTGGCCAAACAAAACCTGTTGGAACATGAAGGGCTCTGTCTTCTCCCTTAGACATAATTTTTATTCATTATTCATTATTATTTGGTCAACTCTTTCCAAGTATTCAGAAATCACTCAGTGTCACAGTCCAATGTTTTATTGCTCTGAAGAGACAAAGTACAAATAACATTCCAGAAAGCATTGTTTTCATGCAAGCACAAATATGGATCTTGACACTCTTGTTGAAAAAATACCTTTCTAACAAAATTTAGTACTTCTGGAAGTGAATTTCCCCCTTCAAATTAGATAAGAAGTTATTGAAAGTCTTCTGAAAAAACAAACAAACAATAAACAAACAAACACAAAAACAACAAAAAAACACACACCATATTTTCCAGGATATAGGTCCTAAAGCCTGCAATAATTTCAGTTATTTAGGCTTTTTGACCCTTTACTTGGATCAACCAAGTAAGATCCAAGGTCTAATTCTTATAGTCTTTAGATCTTATCTTCATGTCAGTTAGTATCGATTTATATCATATTATATGCTTTTCCAGGTTTTGGTATTTTTTTCCCTCCATAGGAACGTTAGCTTCCTGTGTGATATAATCCAAGGGATCTTTTGGCCAAATTAGGGATAGTTCCAGGACTATAGGTGAAAAAAAGTACAGAATCAACAAAGTTAGCCATCCTATTTTAGTATATGATCCAAAGCAGGAAAGGGGGGGGTGGGGACTTTTCCCAGTAAAAATGCTTACTTCTTTGCCACAGAATAAGTCTATCAGGAAACTAAGAAAACAGCCCATTATTTCTATCCAGATGACAAAATTATAAAAGTAAATGTCTTCTCAGGCAGTCAAGGAAGAGATTATTTTTCATTATGTTGGGTTTAGTCTCACTGGAAAAATACATATATTAATCAAAACAATCCAAAAAATCCCAAGGAAAGACATTTTCTGTTATGCACATACATTTCCATTTAGCCTATAGTTACCTTAACTGTGAGCTGTTTGAAGCGACCAGTTTGAGCACTATTGACTATTTTTTTCAGGCTCTGAATAGCTGTAGGGATCTCAGCAGGGGTTGGAGGAACCAGTTCTACCTTGGCATAATGCCAAAATGTGGCCAATCGAGGCTTCGAGTAAGTCACAGCAGCTGGAAAACAAAACAAAACAAAAAAACCAGCATGAACTCACTAGAGACCGAAAGAAGCAGATGTGTGGGCTGAACACAAATATTTATTCATGCATCCCATTCATTCACTGCTTGTACCAAATGTGCACCCAGTGTGAAAAGTCAAAGCTGCTCCCTGGTAACAAGAGGCTTTTAAAGATGCAGAACACCTGTGTCACAGGGGAAGTTCAATCAGGCAGGAAGTTTATAAGCACATTCAATTATGCCAGGACTTCACTAGTGGCCAGCTAGTACTGATACTTCCTTTATGAATGGCAAATCCAGTTAACTGTAAAGTTACCAGAAGATGGATTCAAAAACAAGAAAACAGCAGCCATTTAACCTTATTTTCTTGGTAGAAAGAGCAGATAATTTTGAGGGAAGAGGTGCAGAAGAGGAGGGAAGGAGCGACATCGAACGGCATCCTTAAGAATAAGATTTAAACCGTCACAATATTGGCCACAAATCCAGATAGACTTATACCGATTAGTATCCATTTTTGGTATCCTCATCAATCTGTACTGGATTAAACCTTTCCTTAACAAAAGCACAGCTGCTCCTTCTTCAAAAACACAACAAATAATAAAAGTAAAGCCTACATGTATTGTTAAAAGTAGCCAAAACTCCAATCTGTTATTACTGAGCTGGAATTCCTCAAAGTATTTACTATTTCAATAAAACCAATCCTTAACAATCACTATGGTAGTGATTTCAGCAAGAGAAAGGCATTTTATAAAAAACATTATAAGAGAAATATAATAAAAATAGCATGAATGCATGAATATCCATAAAGTGTCTATTGTTCAAAGATGGGTTACCCAAGGCTCTTGGTGCTTTTTCTGTTATTAACTGCCTGTATTTGGGTATTTCACTACCCTTAGACTTACTATAAGGAGTCCCTGGGGGGGTGAAAGTGGTTAAGCACAGGACTACTAACCCAAAGGCTGGCAGCAGTTTGAACCCACTCAGAGGTGCTTGGGAAGACAGACCTGGAGATCTGCTTCTGAAAGGTCACAGACTTGAAAACCCCATGGGCGCAGATCTGTTCTGCACATATGGGTTGCCATGAGTTGGAAAAGACTCGACAGCAACTAACAACAACAGACTTACTATCTCTATTATCCTTTGTGCTTGGGGCCATGGGTAAATCTTTAAGCAAACCTAAAGCTCTAAGAGATAGTTCTAAAGAGAACTACCAATACCTGTGTGATACGGTAATCAAAAAGTACAAAGTCTTGAGGGAACAGTCAACTGACTGTCTTTAAAACTATCTTTAACACAGATTGCATCCTTTCGAAAAATAAATCAGTACACTGTACATAAACACTGTAGTTTAGTCAGTAAATTTGTTTCTTGGGGGTACAGGTTTAAAAATCTGAAACTACTTTACAAGCATACAGGGGATGAACAAAACTTAAGTAAATTAATGGTGGATGGTGAGAGCCGCGTTTCTCACTGTAGGACGGAAGTTACAGATAAGCAAGAAAAAACTGTGGTACTGGATTAAAGTCAGAGACAGTTGTATGAATTCATGTTTAGCTTAATATGTATAGATGGACATAGAAAGAAACAATTATAAAAACCAATCCTCAACTTTATATGGAATGGCAAGAGGCTCTGAATAACTAAAGCAATATTGAAAGAGAAGAACAAAGTAGGAGGACTCACACTTTCTGATTTTAAAACATACTATACTGTCCTATAGGGTCGTATGGAAACTCTGGTGGCACAGTGGTTACGTGTTCAGCTGCTAACCAAAAGGTACGCAGTTCGAATCCACCAGGCACTTCTTGGAAACGCTACTGTGCAGTTCTACTCTGTCCTATAGGGGTGCTATGAATCAGAATTGACTCGACAGCAATGGGCTTTGTTTTTGGTTTTTAGGGTTGTTATGAGTTGGAATCAACTCTATGGCAACGGGTTTGTTTTTTTTTTTAATACAGCTATACTAATCAAAACAGCCTGGTACTGGTATAACAATAAACAAATAGATGAATGGAACAGAATTGAGAGTCCAGAAATAAACCCACATATCTATGGTCAAATGATTTTTGACAAGAGTGCTAAGTCTATTTGATGGGGAAAGAGTCTCTTCAATAAATGGTGTTGGGAAAATTATATTTCCACATGCAGAAAAATGAAACAGGATCCATGCCTCACACCACACACAAAAACAAATTCAAAATGGATTAAGGACCTAAATGTGCAAACTAAAACCATGAAATTGTTAGAAGAAAAAGCAGGGGCAAAGCTGTCAGGCCTGGCTTTTAACAATGGATTATCTGACAATAACAAAAGCACAAACAGCAAAACACAAAATAGATAAATGAGATCTCATAAAAATTTTTGAAAACTTTTGTTCTTCGAGGGACTTTACCAAAAAGTGAAAAGACAAGCTACTGACTGGGAGAATATCTTCGGAAACCGTTTATCTGACAAGAATCTAATAACCAATATATACATAAAACTTCCACAACTTAACAACAACAACAAAAAAGACAAATAACCCAAACATAAAATGGGCAAAGGAAGTGAACAGACATCTCACCAAAGAAGACATTTAAATGGCCACCAAAGAGACGAAAAGATGCTCAGTGTCATTAGCCATCAGAGAGACGCAAATCAAAACCACAGTAAGATACCATTTCATTCCCACTGGGATGGCTAACATAAAAAGAACTGAAAGTGACAAATGTTGGTGAGGATGCAGGGGAATTTAGAACTCTTACCCATTGCTGGTGGGAATGCAAAATGATACAGCCATTGTGGAAAACTGTGGTGGTTCCTCCAAAAACAAACAAACAAACAAACAAAAAAACTAGCATATGACCCAGAAATTCCACTCTTAGATATATACCCAAAAGACCTGGAAAGCAGAGACTCAAACATAAACTTGTACACCAATGTTCAATGCAGCACTATTTACAACAGCCAAAAGGTGGAAACCACCTAAATGCTCATCAACAGATGAATGGATAAACAGAATGTGGTACATACATACAGTGGAATACTACTGAGACAGCAGGAGAAATGAAGTTTTGAAACATGCTACAACATGGACGAAGCTGGACGACATTATGCAGAGTGAAGTCAGTCACAAAAGGATAAAGATTATATGACTTCACTTACATAAAAAGACAAGAAAAGGCAGATGTATAGAGACCAAAATTTATTAGTGGCTACCAGGGGTGGGAGGGAGGAGAAAAGGAGGCGATGAACGCTGATGTAAATAATCGCATTAAGGGTAGGGTTGCACAGCTGACTACTACTATAATTGCTGTCAATAAGTTGTATTCCTGTAACAAGTTGAACTGGCAAAAGTTGTGTGACAGACATATTTACAATGGAAAAAAATGAGAGAGAGAGCAATAGTAGCTGCTAAGGCTGCTTATGTACAGTCAAAATCCTCATGGGATTTGGTTTCTCGGTTTGGAGGTTTAGGGTCATGGTTTCATGTGACATCCTAGTTACTTTGTCTAATAACTAGTTTAGTGCTGCTGTTTTACTTCCTAGTTCATTACTTAGTGCCTGGGGTCTTAAAAGTTTGCAAGAGGACATCCAAGGCACAACAATTGGTCTTTAATCACCTGGAGCAACAGAGGAAGAAGGAGCGTCAGGAAAAGGAGGAGGATATGAAATGTGTTGATAATTGCCTCCATGAACAACTGTCTCCTTTGCCATGAGACCAGAAGAACTGGATGGTGTCTGGCTACCTTACTAAACATTTTGATCAAATATTCTATAGGAGAATCCTGATCAAATGGAGGAAAATGCAGAACAGAGTTTCAAATTGTCATGAACTCCAGACTTACTAGAGCCATGAAGGTTGGATGAACTCCTGAAACTACTGACCTGAGATAATCTTTAAACCTTAAACCAAAAAATATCCCCTGAAGTCTTCTTAAAACCAAACAACAGTTTAGCTTAACTAGTAAAAAACATCTGCCTTGAGCAGTATGCTCTTTTAAGAACTATCTATATGGGATCAAGGAGCCCTGGTGGCGCAGTGGTTAAGTGTTCGGCTGCTAACCAGAAGGTCTGCAATTCGAATCCCCCAGCTGCTCCCTGGAAACCCTATGGGACAGTTCTACTCTGTCCTATAAAGCTGCTATGACTCAGAATCGACTCGACGGCAATGGGTTTTATATGGGATCAAACTGACAACAGCAACTCGAAAGATTAGACAGGAACCTCAGGGGGCAGTGAATTTATGTTAATGGGAAGGAACAATTCAGAAAAGGAAGATGAGAATGGTTGCATAACTTGAAGATATACTCAGTGTCAATAAATGGTACATGTAGAAACTGTTGAATTGGTATGTTTTGCTGTGTATATTTTCAACAACAATTAAAAAAAAACAAACCCACAACTATATACATATGTACATACATGGGTTTTTATACATACATTATCTAGCTCTGACCACTGAAAGGTCCTAGAATCAGTGATACTGTAGTAGCAAGGAACATATCTAGTGTCCTGATCTTAGTTTCTAAATATCATTGTCCAATAAAAGGAACTAGGGCTCTTTGGAGAAATGACTGATTTTAAAGCTGGGCAGGGAAAAATACAAGATGATTCTGAAGCATTTTGTGGTACCAAAAAGTAAGGAAGTGCTCAAAAAACAAAAGAAGGGGGGCATGTCAAAGGGACAGAGGTGCCAACCTGAAAGAGCTCTCAAGGGCCAAGGCTGGAACAATGGAAAAATTTGAGTAAGGAAATAAATGACAGTATTGGATATATGAAGTATGGAATAAATATACATGGCTCCATACAATATGGGAAAAAAAAAGACAAATCTTTCTTACAGAAGAACTCCATTTAATATATATATACATATATATATATATACACTTTCTTCCGCAGGAGATGAAATCTAACCCCTCGGGCTACAGGGCTAGACTCAGTTACTTGCTTCCAAAGAATACAGAGCATAGAAAGGGAAAAATAGTAACCTTACAGTCAAGAAACCTAGCAAAATACCCTTTAACCAAGTGATAAAGGTTAATATCACAAGTATGTCATATGGATATCATGTACCTCCTGATATGATGTCATAAGGGCACTTTACCTCTGTGGTATTTTTTCCAAAAACCCTTAGCTAAAGTCTAACCATGAGAAAAACCAGACAAATCCAGATTGGGGGACATTCTACAGCATACCTGGACAGTATTCCTAAAGTCTGACAAGGTCATGAAAAACAAAGAAAGTTAGGAAACTGTAAAAGACCAGAGGAGACTGGGGAGACACGACAACTAAGTGCAATGCGGTACTTCTGGGTTAGAACCTGGAACAGAAAGAGATGAATGAAAAAACTGGTGAAATCCAAATAGTTTTGAATTTAGTTAGTAAGGGGGAAAAAAAAATCAAACTATCTTTTCGGGGGAAGTCTGATGATAAAATTACTTATTTCCATAAACTTTGTCTTCCAGGAGAATTAACAAATATAGTCAGTGGTTTTTATTAAGTATTTAATGTTCACATTTAATACACTGAATTATGTTACAAAGCAAAGTATATTTCTACTTCGTTAACATTCTGGCCACAGTGAGTGCTCCTGAGTACTTCTAGAAAAACAGCAACAGTTATCTTTTGATTATTCACACTAATAGACAAAAGGGTTTATATAATACACTACATTAGGAAAATTATTTTGGTTATTACCTTTCTTTTTGGATTTTACCATTAAAATTAGTTCCCAATTTTCCAACACGGACCCCATCTAAAGATATGAAAGTCATGCTATGAAAAAAAATCCATAATTAAAAAAAAAAAAATTGCTTCTAGTTATTCACAGAGTCCAAAGACTGAAGCCTCTAATCTTTCTCTTTTTATTTATGTAAAACTGTAAAGCTTTATCACAATAGATACCTTGATAATCTTAGGTTAAGTAGAAGTTGCAAACTTAAGAAATTCTTTGGGAAAGAGTGTGGGCTTCTGAAGGAGGAGAGTCAAGTATTTATAGTATATGGCACTGTAAGGCCTTCAATAACAACTCATTGTTTGGTTGCTTGTGGAAGGGAGAAGAGAATGGGTAAGAAAATACCAACCAAAGACAGTAAAATAGGTTCAAAATCATTACATGTATCTTTTAAAATTCTGCTTTCTATTTACATTTCATAATCAAATTCGAGAGAATGCTATTTGGAGAAATATGCTCTCAGCCAGTTAGTAGAATATAATGCATCTAACAAAGAAAGTCAAGTCAATTTAACTTATCTCACTTTTGGGAATAAAATGAATACCTTACTACCCAGGAGACAATTGAAATACTTCCTGACAGGACAGGGTTGTTCAGAACAGCAGCCTATCAGTGAGGCTTCGGCTCTTCAAGGGGAAAAAACTCCATGAATGCTAAGCAACAATAATAAAGATTACTGTTTACACGCATGCCTTTCTATGCTTACTGGGGCAAGGCTACTCATTCATAAAGTCAATTCCACCAAGAATTTTCCTCGGATTAAAGTGGAAGGATCTCAGAAACTGGCCAGGACAGAAAACAAAGTCAACGTTCGGAAGCTCACCCACCCGTAAAGATTTTTGTAGGCTTCCAAATACTCCACTGAGAATCAGACAACCTGACGAAGTCGAATTCTTGTGCTCTCACATGTATCTGCTCTTCCTTTTCTTAGCTCTCCTAACGGACCCAAACCCTCCATACTTCTATTGCTAAAGCTCTAACGGGGCCGAATGGCAGCTGCTGGGCAACTCCGGGTTTCTTCACACTACCTCTCCTCACTGTCGTGGTTAGGATGAAGGAACTCCTAGGTTGTATAACGAACTCAAGCTGCAGACCGGGCGAACTGAACGCCAGTGAAAAGATTCGAAAACCTGCCTCTTGCTCCTCGGCCCACGCAGGCCCCTCCGCTCACCAGAGCCCGCCTCTTACTCTCAGGCCCGCGGACGCACCTCCCCGTCGGCCTATGTACCTGCCTCGGCACTCTGACAGCCCGCTCACCGTTTACCATCGCCGGAGCCTTCTCCACAAGGTTACGGACAAACTGTGCCATGGTTCTAGGATGCAATGCCCGTTGCCCCCAACGGTCGGCTGAATGTCACCTCCGGAAGGACCCGCTGCAGGACCCCGTCCCACTTGCAGGGTCAGGGCTTCTCTTTCCGCGCCGGTCCGAGATATTTAGGTTTCCGACTGTCTTTCTGGAATTCAGTAGGTCTGTTTTTTTTCTTAGTCACAGAGGAGAAAGTGAGTATGAAAAAATGAGATCAGAGAACACGTGAAGAACGATGGGGTTCCATGGAGAAACAGGCATTTCTTGGGACAGCCCCCCGTGGAGGGCCGGAAGACCGGCGAGGTGAGGAACGAAAGGCGCATGCGGCCTGAACCTCCCGCGCTTTCCTTATCACCGAGTATGTGGGAAGGCATCTCTGAAATTTTCTAGACAAACACTATCGTTTTACAGAGGCAGAGAGGGTCCAAGGCCAAACATGAAGTTGGGGCAGAGCTGACACCACACAACCTAAGTTACCTGACTCAGCCCATTGCCTTTCCTTAGCTGATCTTTTGTAATCCTTCTCACTCCCACCCACTGGCATCCTGTATGAGGACTGGAATCCAATTCCCCTAACTCCCTAATCAGCCATGCGGAGCTTTAAGGCTGTGAGGAACCAAATCACATTTATCGAGGGTCTCCTCTATGCTAGACATTTTGAAATTTAAAGAAAGCCTGTGTGTTGGGTATTGTCTCCATTGAGACCGGGATTGGTTAAGTGACGTGTCCAAGGCCACAGTGGCAGAGTTGCGGTCTGAAGCGGTTGTGGTATAAACACTATCAGATTAGTTATGGCACTGATCTGGAAAGACCTCCTAGAGGAGGAGATCCTTGAGTATAAGAGGGTTGAAACATTATAATTTAATGATTGGGAAGAAAAGATGTATGTAGGGAACTGGCATTTGGTGAGTAGAAAAGTAATGTACCCTGGGGGATCCTGAGCAGTATAACTGATTGACAAAATGGTTAAAGGTGGGAAGAAAAATTAGGAGTGATGTGTCACAGGGTCCAAGAACAGCAGTTCAATTAAAGTGATTTAGCTGCCCTAGATACTGCAGAGAAGTTAAGGATGAGAAAGCTGATTTAGAAATATGAAAGTTTTTGACACTAGCTAGAGCAGTTTGAGAAACTTAGGAGAGAAGCCAGAGTGAATGGATGGGTTTAGGTAAGAAACATGGCTGTAAATGTTTATATAAGGGGGATGTGGAATTTAAGGGAGAGATTAGAGTAGGAAAGAAGGTGGAGGGATTAGCCTTGGAATGGAGGGGACTTTTCCACAGATTGGATGATGGGAGAGAAGTCTGAAAGTTTAGATTCCGAAGGTCTTTATCCTACCAGTTGTGTTAGTTATCTAGTGCCGCTGTAACAGAAATACCCCAAGTGGATGGCTTTTAACAAAGAGAAATTTATTCTCTCACAGCCTAGTGGGCTAGAAGTCCAAATTCAAGGCATCAGCTCCAGGGGAAGGCTTTCTCTCTCTGTCGGCTCTGGAGGAAGGTCCTTGTGATGCATCAATCTTCCCCTGGTCTGGGAGCATGTCAGTGCAGGAACCTCAGGTCCAAAGGACACGCTCTGCTCCCGGTGCTGCTTTCTTGGTGGTATGAGGTTCCCATTTCTCTCTGCTTGCTTCTTTCTATTATATCTCGAAAGAGACTGGCTTAAGACACTACCTAATCTTGTAGACCTCATCAATATAACTGCAGCTAATCCATCTTATTACATCATAGTGATAACATTTATAACACATAGGGAAATCACATCAGATAAAATGGTAGACAATCAGACTAGACTGGGAATCATGACCTAGCCAAGTTGACAGATACTTTGTCAATCCATGACACCAGTGAAGTAGAAAGCAAGATCATCTGAGTGAAGTGAAGTGGGAGAGAATTTGAGGAATGAGGTTAAAGTTCTAATAGCTGTTGAGGAAGTAAGGGCATACGGAAGGGTTGTTGGGCAATGCTAGATACCACGTTTGTGGTCAAATCACTCTAAAGATTGTGTCATTCTTCTTCATCGGTGGCCTGCAGCTTAGATATTGGAGCAGAGGGGAATGGTTGGGTTAGATTTATCTAGCTGAGGTCTTGAATAGCAGGGGTCGTAGAAACAAGGGACAAGAAAGGGGAACACGATAGTGAATGATTAAAATAAAGAATTGGGGCTTAGGCCAGATAAAGAGAAGTGAAGCCAAAAGGAAACTGATTAGGAAAAAACATGCCATGAGATTCGTCTTCTTACAGTTAACTCCAGGGCGTCCTCTAGCATCCTAGTAAAGGCACATTAGGTCAGCCAGGTTACGCACATTTGATACTACCTTAAAAAAAAGGGAAGGGCAGAGTCTTCTAAGTTTTCAGAGGGATATCTGAAACTGCCATTAGTTTTTAATATTGTAATAAAGGAAGTGATAACAAAGGCTGTAAGTCTGTAAGTCAGGTGTTCATTTATTAAATACAAGTTTTGAATAAACACCCCCAGGCAAGTTTGACAAGAAGTAACCTTCCTGGAATGTTTCAAAATACAGTTATGTTGATTAAGTTTTATTTCAATCAACCTTTTTGTTGTTTTGTTCATTTTGGTTCTGGGTTCCTTTCCTGTTCAGCAGTTAAGAGCATGTATGTTATTTCCTCACAGGGCATCAACAGTGCAGCATCAGCCTTTGGCTTGTAAAGGCACCCAGTAGACTTTTGCTCTGTGCGTTGGCTGCTTAGCAACCAGCATCAAATAGGAAGCTTCTGTAGAGTGTGATTCCAAATAGCAACTGGCACCTTCATCTGCACCGTTAAAAAACCTTTTCCTTCAGTTTTCACGTATCAATTAAAAAGTATATTAAAAAAAACAAAAACTCAGACTGCTTCATAAAACCTACTTAAATAATTATCCAAGTTTAATATCACCCTTGTGGTAAATTATGAGCAATACTAGAGACGATTAAAGAGTCTTAATTTTCCTATCATACTCCAGCAAAGACAACACATAAGAACACTAGGCATGTCAGAAAGTTCACTCTAGTAGTTTCAGAGCTGCTTCTGAGTTCCGGACAATAAAACACCTCTTTAAGCTTCCAAGTGCATATATGCACTATGTTATACCAAAACGATAATGTTTAAAAGTCTCATTTTTTTGGATGTCCTTAAAATACTTCACAGCTAGAAAGCAAAAAAGGCACAGAGGACACTTGGTTTCCTTACCAATCGTAGCCTTAAACTACACATTTGCCTTTGTGATAAATTTAAAGATGTTTGGCAGCATTAACGATGCCTTAGCCATTCATAAGTTTCAGAAAAAAGCTTAAAAAAAAAAAAAAGGCTTAACAGAAAAGGCTTACAATCTAAAGATTAAACACAGAGGTAGAATATGGACACAGATACTAGAGGCAGCATAGAGGTTGTTAACTAGAAAGCTGTTGAAGAAAACAGCTGCCTTCTGAGGTTTTGTGCCCATTTTCTCCTCCAGTTTTCTCCTGTAAAATTCTAGTCTTTTTCCCCTCCTTTTTCAAATTAAAACATCCTATTAGATTGACTTTGGAAGATAAATGTAAGTAGACAGGAAGTTTATTTTAAACAGAGTTCATTCTCAAAAAGGAAAGGAGGAAAATAAATATGAAATGAAGCACATTAAACAAAAAACAAAACCCTTGTCAACCCATGCATTAAAGGTGAGGGAGCACACTGAATTAATTTTACATTCTGGCATTTGTAAAAGCGTCCTAGACTTCCCTTTTCATTTATAAGCATAGCAACAGGCAATATCTACTTTATACCTAGTGTGGGATGCCTGCTCTGATTGGAGTTTTCTAGCTGATACCATCAAAACACATCAAGGACTGCTTATAGCAACTTGTGTTGGAATATCATAAAACTACCATCTTATTTGAAAGAGGCCATGGTTACAATAATGTCCTCTAAATGAAGCAATGACCCCCTGCTTCCAGATTATATCATTTTCCTTGCCTCTAGTATCTTCAGGCTTACAGGGATAGGGACATATAGACAGTCCATAGGGGGATGTGCCTCACTCAGCATGTTAAGCCGCACAATTGAGTAAGGAGCTCAAGCTCAACTTGTAAAAGTAGGGCCCGACCACCTACTAACTACACAGGGCTAAGTGGATATTTAAAACGGCTTGCAGACAAGGTTGTGCCCAAATTCCTATTTTGTTAATTGATGACCTGAGTTAGAAGCAGCTCTTAGGAGCCAGGTCACAGCCCAAACAAATATTAACTATATACATTTTATAGTCTTAGAATTTTATTTAGTATCTAGAATGTATGTATCAGTAAACATGGCCACACACTGTATACATTTACCATGTAAGAGACACTGTACAGTGGTACTCAGTTTACACTGGACCAATATTAAAAAAGTACATAGTGTATATATATTACATATATACTGAGATATACTGTTGATATTAGTGTCTTAAAATGACATTCTTCACGGTTACAGTATTTGTTGCCTTTTACTCAGGCCTAGTTGTTGTAGCAATTGATCTTCATAGGAGAAAAAGGGTCTAACAACCTCCTGTTTATTCCCTCACCCCAGCATTTTTTGAATTAAGTGTCAAAGCTTCAAGTTTGTCCTATCCTCATAAAAGCATTGTAGGGTTAAGTTTTCAGTGGGTGACAACCCCAAGGGAGAGTGCTTATCTGAGACAGTATCTTTCGGTTACAAGATAACACAAAATTAAGCGCTACCAACAGAAATTGCGTAAGATTCCTTTTTTTTCTCCCATCTTGTCTGTCATCTTATTAAAAAATCTACACAAACATCAGGGTATCTTCTTTCATGTGAAAAGTTATTCTGTAACATTACAGAGCTGTAACAAGGAAAAGAGCTGGAGCCCAATTCATGAGGACTAGTAAATACCTTGATAACACAGGTCATTCTGATGATATTAGCTGTCAGTGAAACATGTAACATCATATACTTAGAAGCAGTGCTCACCAAAAACATTTGAGCAGTACTTGGAAGGGAAATAATAAGGTGGCAGTAAGTTTTAGTAGTTTGAATTTAATATAATTTATGGTAAGAAAAGGGAAGAAGAAAGAATAAGAAGAGAAAAAGGGTGAAAATTAGTGATCATCTCTAAACGTGGTGATGCTGTATTAAGTATAATCTTCTGCAAGCCAGGGAAGCACTGTAAAGTTCTTAGGAATCTTAATTATCATAATCTGAGCAACAGAAGTTCTTTAATTTAGTAAAGGGGGGAAAAAAAAAGAAAAGGAACAGAACCAGAAAGAGAGAAACCACAAACGATTGTTTATCTACTCTCTGGGGTTGGTTTTGGTTTGTTTAGTTCACAGTATTTATTCAAGTTGCTCCTTTTGTTGTTTCCTTTCTGCAAGCCACCGCTGGATTTTTTCTTTTAGTTCTGTGTTTGGCCGGATCTGGTCCATGGTGAGGGGACTACGGTTAAAGGGATCTGTTTGGTCACTGGGACAAAGAGAGAAAGGAAAATAAGGTTATTTCCATAAGTTCCAACAGTATAAGCCAAAAGCAGAACACCCAGACATCTCACTTTGACCGAGACTGAAGCTAGAGTGACTAGTGCATTATAACTTTGAGCCAAGTGCTGACTTGGGATTCGAAAGAATCAAATAGAGAAAGAGAGTGATTCAGGAAGTTTCTTTTCTTTTTAAGCACAGATTTCTTAGCCACTTTGTCTCTCTGCCTCTTAACAAACTTTATCTCGACATTGATGTTCAGATATTTGATTCCAGTGGCTTAAAAAATGCTATCCTTCTGCCACCAACCTTTAGATTTCTTTAAGGCACAGAGGCCCTTGTACACTCATGTCAGTGTAAAGAGCTGTTTATGGTTTTGAAAGTAACAGATTCCTGAAATAATATACTAGAATTATAATGTATGTAATTAAAAATAAAAAGGATTAAGTCTTGTAAAATTGACACTTGATTTAGTTAGCTGATTGCTATACAAGTAAATGCAGATTATGGTTTCCTGACAGGTAAGAAGGTTCACTGGAAGGAGCCCTAGTGGTGCAATAGTTAAATGCTCGGCTGCTAACCCAAAGGTCAGCAGTTCCAACCCACCAGCTGCTCCACAGGAGAAAGATGTGGCAGTCTGTTTCCATAAAGATTACTGCCTTAGAAACCCTATAGTTCCACCCTGTCCTATAGGGTCACTATGAGCTGGAGATGACTTGACAGCAATGAGTCTGGTTTTTTCTTTTTTTGAAGAAGGTCCATAACATACTTTAGGGGCTTCTATATCTTTTCTCTATATTCTGAGGCCACTATAAAATATAAAATTTCACTGGCATTTTGGAAAAGACATACCAATTACCACACAGAATCATGCATACAGTGAATGCTTAATACCAGATACCATGAAGTAGAAAATTCTTTTCTTTCAATGTTTAAACTGTTATCTCCTTAAAACTGGGTCAACTTATGTAACTTAATTTTAAATAGGCACATTCTCTCAATACTCATTTCTACCTAGTACTGCACTTAAAAATGTTAAGAGGCCACTTAAGCAGCTAATAAGCTATCATTTGTTACTTCTAGTCCTTATCTTTTCTGTGCATATCAGGGGAAGATTGCTCAAAGAGCAGGGAGGCTAGGGAAAACTCATGGTCACCACCACTGAATATAATCATAGCAGCAAGGTGGGAGTTAACCTATATGGTGAGTATAGTGTAAAACCTAAGTTAAAAACAAAACAAAACAAACAAAAACACTAAACTTTGCCTTTTATATTTTCACAATGAAAAAGAAATTAAAACAATTTCAGGTAGACATATTTTATAACATATGTTGATAGAAATTATTTAAATTATTTTCTTAAGGAAGGAAGAGGTAAAGTTAGAGCCAGCATTTCTCAGTAGGATGTCTTGTTTTGGTTGTTTAAATCCTTAACAATCAAGTAATATATCTATCCCAATACATCAATGAATCAACTATATGGGGTATCTACTGGATGCATAGACTGTATCAGGTATCTGGGGGAAAGAGATGATAGCAAACAGATATACATTTGTGCTCTTGAGGCTGTTTTTTAGGATTGGCACACCTGAGCAAATGTCTGGCAATGGTGGACCTATCCACAGTGACTCTGGAAGATGGGAGCACCACAGGGTCAGACATCAGTGTGCTCATGATGGGATCCAGGAACTCATCACAGGCATCTGCATATGTCTCCTCTTCCTGTTGCTGGAGGTCTGCAAGAGACTGTGCACAAAACATTTGGTAGTTAAGGTGAGTGCACAGTGCAGCTCAAGTCAAGAGGCTCAATGACTATACCTTAATCTGTGTTGTCAATAACCCTTGACAGTGACAAATAATGACAAATCTCAGCTTTATTTTCTCAAAAGCAAGCCAACATGGATATTATAAGAGCAAATTCAGCACTGAGCTCCAACTCTGCAACTATGGTTTGGCTCAGCTGCTACAATCATGACTGGAGATGGGTATAAGTGTTAGCAGGAAAAGAAGTGCACCAACATACAACATCCTTCTGTGGACTGTTGCCACATCCTTCTGGCAATAGTCCTGCTGTAAATCCTGTAATTCGAAAGGGGTAGGAGGGTTATTATTTACATAATTACAAAGTTACTCATGTAGCCTGAGTATGAAAAGCAGCTTCTGGTACATAAATCTCAACAGCAGCCAAACTTAACATATGGAAACAGGATTGTCAACTGTCACACAAAATTAGGCACCAAATAGGTACAGGAATTTAAAAGTGCCTTCAACATTTGATTCTTTCACAACTCTAGTTCCTCAGGGGTCCATCTGGCTAAACTCTAGGCAAAGAGAAGCCTAACTCGATAAATAAGTAACTTCAATGGCAGAAAGACTGAATGAAAAAGGAAGCTTTTCTATTAGACTTCTGTGCCATAATTTTTCCTTCTCCATAACTGCTAATGGAGCTCAGCCATCCTCCAAAGGGACTAGCTGAATATAATACAGTATTTTAATCTTTAAAATGTATGCATATTCCAGTGTAAGTCAGCCATAAATACAGGGAAGAGAAAATCAATGACTGAAAACTACCAATTTTAAATTCCATTATAAAAAGTTCTTCTGCAATAACAGAAACTTAAAATAGATGTTCAAATCTATTGGTAACACTGTGCGGAAGCTTCCATAAAAACAGCCTATGTAAATTTGTACATTCTTCTTATCTGGTAGTAGCCTCTTTAATCAATTTTCTGTTCTCATCCTCATGTTAGATAGAGTAATATTAGTAAGAATATGGTAGTTCTAGTTATAGGAATAATTATGTTTATAGTTTCTCAAGGCAGTGCTTCCCTGTCTCCCCCATCCTCCCCAAACAGGGTAAAACAAAACAAAAAAAACCAAAAAACAAAAACGCATAGTTTGAGTTGACAGTGTGATTTTTATTTAACATGTAAGCAAACAAATTTTCCTCTTCCTCACCTTGATTCTCTCTGCCAAATTGCTGAAAGCCACAATCATATTTCCAGGCTTGTTTATCTTCTTCAGGACTCGGACTGTCTGTGCGAACAGAGTTGGGGAATAGGAACGTCCATCCTTGGGCACAGTGGCACAGAAATTCTCCTCATCCCTGGAAGGTCAGCATCAGAGGATACGTCAAATGGGGAAGACAGCAAAAGGGTTGCAGAAGGTTCTCCATTACTTATAAGCCATGGATGTTCTTGGATATACAAAAACTTCTTATTTTCTAGGAGAAAGCCTATCAAGTATCCTGTACCTTAAAAGAATACTATTTTTCAAAAAAATGGTACAACTAGTAAAGTTTATCTTTGCACAGACCAAGGCAGAATGTTTGGAATTCTAATAATGTCCAACCCAGGTCATATAAAATTTCATTATTTTAAAACTGAAGATTCCTTCATCAACCAACTAGAAATGAACCACTTCCCTGCCTATTTCCACAAAATTACCAACCTGGTCATTCCACTACCAAACCCCTAAATTAAAACATTAATACCCCCTCAGGCTTGCCCAATTCCAATCCAGGTACCCAAGATTTAAGTAGATAGTGCAGATATCTGATACGAGCTGCTGGGGTTTGAAGTCAAATTCACTGAAGTCTTTGACTTTTAAGGCCCCCATCTTGGGGCCAACCAGGTGCTGCAGGAAGTAGTTCAGCATGGAGATGATACGCTCAGCCAGGAAGGGGTGCACAAAGAGTGACTTGATCTCTGGAAAAAAAGCCAAAGTCTCTGAAAGCTCAACCCATCAGCAATCTTTTACTTATTATGCCTTAGCGCTTTACTTGGAAACTTCTGGGGACTAAATTTTTTTTTTTTTTTAATCACATAAACAATACAATTTCACTGCAGTAATATTAGAAAATATAGACAAGCAAAAAACAAACCAACAAAAAAAAAACATCTACTACCCAGAGATGAACATTGTTATCATTTTGTGACATAGTGTTCTAACTTTTCTGTCCATATTTGCACACATATACATATATACATTTTCAAAACAAAAATGATTATCACATTGTACATAATTCTATTACTTTTTTCCTTAACTATGTCATAAATACCTTTCCATTTTAGTAAATATGTGCAGCTTGACACAGTAGCCACTAGACACATGTGGCTATTTAAATTTAAATTAATTAAAATAAACAATTCAGTTCTTCAGTTACATTAGCCACATTTCAAGCATTCAATAGCTATCATCTACAGTACTGGACAGTTCAGATATAGGAACATTTCCACCATCATAGAAAGTTCTATAGGATAGCACTGATTTAAACCATTCTTAATAGCCATATAGTTTTCCAGTTTATGGCTGAAACATAAGTTATTTAATCCATCTTTACTGGTTGACATTTTGGTTGTTTTAAAATTTTTGCTATTATAGCCATTTTACTTATTGACGAACTTCATTATGTACACATCTTTGTATACTTGCTCGATTACTTTACAACAAATTTTTAAGGAATTGCTAGCTCAAAGTCTGAACTTAAAAAAAAGTTTTAAAATAAATACACACCAAGTTTAAAAAGTACTAAGTCTTGCTTAATACTGCTAATTGCTGATTTTCACTTCTAGTCACTGTCTACTCTCTGCTGAAGATGAGGATTTAGCTCTTACTTCCTGTCCCTTCTCTCCCAAATATACAACCATCCCAGTATATAATCAAATTTTCGGCTAAATAATTTAGAATTTATATCATTAAGACTATGTAAATTTCATTCAAAGCAGAGCCAGTGTTCTAATGGTTAGTTCTTTTTTAAGTACAACTTTTTGTTCTTGCTTTTTCATTTGCTTATTTTTAAAGTATCTATCACTAAATCCTTCCCAAAGTCTCCACTGCAATTATAAAACTCTAAATATGGTCAATTCTAGCAGTTCTGTATGTCTTTTTGACAGGTTTCTCCTAGAAGCTTCACCCCAGTCTAGATGGCTTGCTCCACAGACCTGCTACACAGTGGTTACCACAAGCTCCTTCTACCAGCATCTCAGTAATTTCCTTTGCATCCCTCTTGTGTTGGACCTCACCTACCTCCTTCTTGGTTTACTCCTTCATTTTGATGGAGTATATCCTTTTGTAGCTTCTCAGGAAAGGGTACACTGGAAGTAAATCTGATACCGTCATGTCTGAAAATGTCTTTATTCTACCCTCAAGCCGAATTGATAGTTTGGCTGGCTATAGTATTCTAGACTAAAAAGATTTTCCCTCAGTAATCTGAAGGCATGTTGCACTGTTTTCCAGCTTCAAATGTCACTGATGAGAAGGTCAAAGTCATTTTGGTACTTAAACGATTGTACATGACCTGATTTTTCTCTGGGAGCTTCTATTTACCCAGATTTTTTGAAATTTCACAATAATGTACCTTGGTGTGAGTTTTTTTTTAATTCACTGTGCTGGGCACTTGGTGGGCCCTTTCAATTTTGAAGCTGTTTTTTAGTCTTTGGGAATTTTTTGTATTATTTCTTTGATAATTTCCTCCCCTCACCCCATTTTTCTCTTTTTGAGACTTGTCAGGTTGATGCTCTATTTTCTTATCCTTTCTAATTTCTATCTCTTGTTCTTTTTGTTCTACTTTCATGGAAAACTTCCTTGAATTTATCTTCTAACCCTTCTAACTAAATTTTTTAAATTCCTAAAGTTATATTTTCAATATCCAAAAGCTTTCTTGTTCTTTGAAAATCCGTTTTATTGCCTCTTTGTTTTAATCATGTGGATGCTGTATCTTCTCTTTATTAATATATGTCAACCACAAATATAGAGAAGAGAAAATAAAGTTTAAAAAAAAACATTAAAAAAAGTTTTCATCTACTATCTGTGTTTCATGTTAGAGGACTTCCTCAAACATCTGGTAATCCTTGGTTGTCATTTCTTAATTTCGGCTGGGATGATCCCTCAAATAAAGCAAATCTTAACCACTACATTTCTTGGGAAAGCAGGGCTCATGTCCTTACCTGATGTCAGAAAGGCAAGTGTACCGATTGTTTCATTGGACATGATGTTATGAAAACGTGCCAGCTGTCCAAACATCTGTAAGCCAGCCTCTTTCTCTCGGCGAGCTTCAGGAGTCAGACTATCCCATTCACCTCGGTCCTTTTCAATCTGCTGAATCTTTATCTTGCTCAAATACTATAGAAGCCAGAGGTGGGATATGTCAGAGAACAAAGTGCAGCTGAAGGAAGATGGCACTGAAGAGGTCCTACTTAAAGTCCAGTCAACTAAGCTGGGAAAACCAAAGACTATATAAGAGGCATGAACCTTTATTTCTCAACACAGGGCTGACTGAAGCTTGAAAATAAACTGTCACTTCATATAGATTTATTTCATCCTGGGTAGAATTGTGGGTAATTCCCCTAGAAGTAGTATAGTATATGAAATAGAAGGGAGGAGAAATAGTACAATATATGAAACCCAGGAAAAACAAACAGATTACAGTGAAAATAGGATGAATCCTCCTTGAAAGATTAAAAAAAAAAAAACTGCTTACCAAAAATCAAAATTCTATTAAATGTACAAGATGTCTGGAAGGAGAACCATAATTATTTAAAACCCTCTATTTCTCAGCATTCTTGCTGTTGCAGTGAACATGTGAAATTTATAGTCCCATGAAAACACCATCTGCTTCATTCTTTGTGTCACACAGCTCTTGCTTAAGAGGGTCTGTTTATAACAGGGCCTGTTCTCTGTTTGTAAGAAAACCTTTTTTTTTTTTTTTAAATTTTTTCCCATACAAAAATTTATACTTACATTGTTATGTGACTCTAATTGCTCTTCCCATACTGTGACAGCACATTCTTCCTTTCCACCCCTGATTCCCTATGTCCATTCAACCAGCTCCTAACCCCCTCTGCCTTCCCATCTCACCTCTGGATAGAAGCTGCCGTTTAGTCTCTGGTATCTACTTAAGCTAAGAGGCACACTCCTCACGGGTATGACTTTATGTCCCACAGTAGAGTTGAATCCCTGTCTGAAGAGTTGGCCTCAGAAACTGTTTTAGTTCTAGGCTGATAAGAGAATCCAGGGGCCATGCTTTCCTGGGTTCCTCCAGTCTCAGTCAGACCATTAAGTCTGGTCTTAATACAATTTGAGTTTTGCACCCTACCTTTCTCCTGTTCCATCCGGGACTCTCTGTTGTGTTCCCTGTCAGGGCAGTCGCTGGTGGTAGTCAGGCACCATCTAGTTCTTCTGGTCTCAGGCTGATGAAGTCTCTGGTTTATGTGGCCCTTTCTGTCTCTTGGGCTAATACTTTCC